GTTTGGCTTGCTCGGCATTAGTATTGGCTTGTTCGAGGTAAGTAACTCTTCTAATCTTGGAGCAGAGGGTATGAACCCTGAATATACATGTTATGTGTTTGGTTTTGAGGTGACGCACATGCTAGGTGACGGGCGTGTGGGCGTGCACCGTGTGAATTGTGATTTCCATTATTTCTATGGTACTGTGTAGTTACCTGAACTTGTCTGAAATCATGAAATCTCTATGTACTAGAGTTATCGAGCTGTGATTATGTTAGAAACCATGTTCTAGGCTACATGCTTATCCTGTTGGGACCCACTGAGGTCATTTCTGTTGTTGAGTAATCTGCTTTGATTGCATTACATACTCAGTCATACGCATTCACATGCATATCATATCTCAGTCTATGTTGTTATTTATTGATGCATCATATTATTGTTTTTGGGCTAGTATCATGACATTGTGAGCCCGACAGACTGGAGAGATTGATGACTGAGTGAGGCCGAGGGCATGATTGTGAGGACGATTATGGGATCGGGCTGCACGCCGCAGCGGGTAAGATTGGCTTACTATAGCACGTCAGTTGTCCGTGCAGAACGTCAGTTGTACGTGCGATTCCAGATATTCATATTATGACACGTGAATTGTCCGTGCAGCACGTGAGTTATCCGTGCAGCACATGAGTTGTCCGTGCGGATAATAGCGCTTGGGCTGTAGGAGCCCCTCGGAGTCTGCACACCCCCAGTGAGCGCAGGTACCTACTAAGTGCGAGTGTCGAGTGTCGAGTGCCGAGTTCTGAGTGACTGGGAGGACTGAGTGAATTGGTACTCTGAGAGTATGCATATGATCTTTATCACTGATTTGCATCGCATTTGGCATGCACACTTGACATACAGGCATAGAGATGCATTTTTCCTCATGTTGTATAGTATCACGTCATTTATGACTTCTCACACATGTTGACATATGGGCATAGTGATGCATTTGTTTTACATTGAATATTTGAAAGAAAATGAGACATCTTAATCATTATTGAAAGGATTTTTGGGAAAAATCACAGATTTCAAACTTACTCGTATTTTGGCTTTTTCGGTAAAAGATTTGGGTTTTCACTGAGATACTTGAAAAGAAATGTCTATTTTTCTGGAACTGTGAACGAACTGAACATTTTATTTCTGAGATACCTCTTTTGTTACTTGTACTATGTTGTTATGAACTGTTGTGGAATATTGGTGTTGGACCCGACCTTTGTGTTAGCTCGTCACTACTTTCAACCTAAGGTTAGGTTTGTTACTTATTGAGTACATGGGGTCGGTTGTACTCATACTACACTTCTGCACCTTGCGTGCAGATATTGACGGCTGACGTTGTTGTGATCGATGGGAGCCAGTATTGAAGATGTACCTGCGTCCCGGTTGTAGCTGCCTCTTGTTCATGGTAGCCTTAGATCTATAAAACTCTGTTTATATACTTTTCAAACAGATGATGTATTTACTTCATTTCAGCTTTGTAAACTCTATTCTTAGAAACTCATGATTTGTACTACCAGTCCTTTGGAAACGTATAAGATTCAGATAATTTCTTTTGAATAATTGTCTTATTAATATTATTGGAATTGGATAGTTGTTAATTGGCTTACCTAGCGGGTTGGGTTAGTTGCCATCACGACTAGTTGGATTTTGGGTCGTGACACGTCGCCTCTCGTCTCATCAATCAGAACTATATCATCAGCGAACAGCATACACCATGGCGCCTCCCCTTGAATATGGTGTGTCAGTGCGTCCATCACCAAGGCAAATAGGAATGGGCTGCGCGCAGATCCTTGGTGTAACCCCATAACCACCGGAAAAGGCTCCGAGTCACCTCCCACAGTCCTAACCCGAGTCTTAGCTCCATCATACAAATCCTTTATCGCCCTAATATAAGCTACCGGCACACCTTTCACCTTCAGGCATCTCCAAAGAACGTCCCGAGGGACCATGTCATACGCCTTCTCTAGATCAATAAATATCATGTGCAAATCCCTCTTTTCCTATCTCTGTACTATTCCACCAACCTCCTGATAAGGTGGATAGCTTCCGTAGTAGAACGACCTGGCATGAACCTGAACTGGTTTTCTGATGTAGACACTGCCCTCCTTACCCTCCCTTCCACCATCATTTCCCAAACTTTCATGGTATGACTTAGTAACTTAATACCCCTATAGTTGTTACAATTCTGGATATCCCCTTTGTTCTTGTACAGCGGGATCATCGTACTCCACCTCCACTCATCCGGTATCCTCTTCGTCCTAAAAATAACATTAAACAGCTCAGTCAGCCACTCCAAGCCTGCTCTACCCACATACCTCCAAAATTCTACTGGAATCTCGTTTGGTCCGGTCGCTTTGCCCTGGCTCATCTTACGCATTGCTCCCACGACCTCCTCCACCTTAATACGACTACAGTACCTAAAGTCTTGGTGACTCTCAGAGTGCGCCAATTCCCCTAACACAATGTTTTCGTCCCCCTCTTCATTCAGAAGTCTATGAAAGTACGACTGTCATCTCTGCTTAGTCTGGGCCTCTTCCATCAATACACGACCTTCCTCGTCTTTGATGCACCTCACTTGATCCAGATCACGAGCCTTCCTCTCTCTCGCTTTGGCCAACCGAAATAACTTCTTGTCCCCACCTTTACCCCCCCAGTTCCTCATACAGCCGCCCAAACGCAGCAGTCTTAGCCTCCGTGACCGCTAATTTCGCCTCCCTCCTAGCTTCCTTATATCTTTCTTTGTTCGCTCCAGAGGAAAGAAACAAATCTGACCAATATTACTTCTTCCATCTTATTTTGTGTGACGGTACTAGGCACGAAGTTTAAGATCTTATTTCGACATAAATTTGTATTAGTATTAGTGAAGAAAAGTATTAAAATAGCAGTTCTTTTTAAGTATTAAAGTAGCGGTTGAAAAGTTTATTTGATAGAAAAAACATCATATTGAAGTTTAAAATGTGAACAGTTGAATGAAACTGAAATATCTAAAATTGTGGAAGTTGTATTAAAATGGAATTGTGTTAAATGTTATGGGACATTATCTTCTCTTAAATGCATTTACTTTTATGTATGACCAATAAAACATAGACACCACTAAATTCATAATTACCTTTTTTTAGGTTCAAAAGGTTTATAACTACCCTTATAGGTCTCACTACAAAAAAAAAAAAAAAAAAAAAAAAAAAAAAAGGTATCACTACCAAGATTCACATCGTTCACAAAGAGCACCTACAATTGCCTTGCTTATAAGCAAAAATTGAGGCAGAAGATTCACTCGGATGACAATTTTATGATTTTTGTAGTTGATCGTATGTTCTGTTAGAAGGCCCTTATCAAACAAGAACATTCTGTTAGAAGGCAAAGAGGGTTCAACTACCAAACACATCAGCTCTATAAAGAGGCAAAAGAACATATCTAGAAGAACAGTGTATTGTCAAAGCTCAAAAGTGAGTGCACATAAATATTTTAGAACATCAAGAGCTACAAAATAGCACTTGAATTCTGACAGTAATTAACTTTGTACTCTTCAAATGCATTAGACACTAAATTAGGTGTTAAGTCCAGTAGGCATCTAGATTCTACACGGGAAATCATTCGTCATGTTGGCAAACAATGTCCTTGACATATAATTTGAGAAATAATGAATGAATCAAATGGGATGGAAAACGTCTGGACAATAACAATATATAAAAAGATATAACATGCAAAAAACTACTCACCAGAGTGTAAGAGCCACTAATATTGAACTTTTTCATGATTCTTACAAAATGAGGAAAATTAGAAATGAAAGATTCAGCAGCTAATTTCTCTTCAGGTACTGATTTCATTGACATGCAGCTTTTGGTGAAAGAACCCTGTTTATCCTGAGCAGGTTTCCTGATTACTGTTCGAGAATGAAAGTTGAAAAGTTTCAATATGTGTTGTGTGAGGAAGGACAGCTAAAATAAGTTAGTTAATCACCGTGTGAATTCACCTGAATCTCCACTGCTAATCTTTGACAAACAGAGCTGATGACTCTTCAACATATTACTATGTTTCTCTTTGCCATGAGCAGATCCTTTTTTAGCAAATGTCTTGGCCTTTGCTACCTGCTGTAAACAGTGAACAGAATTTTCTCCCACTTTCGTCAACTTACATTCAGAAATTTTAACCGAGGTGGCAGCATAATCAGCAGCTAGTTTAACTACCTTACTACTGTAATCATTTCCTTCCTTTTCCACCCTCAGAACATGCACGCGCAATTCACACTTACGGACAAGCTCAAAGATGCAGATATCTCCCAAATCAATGTTATTGTCGCGAACAAAGGATAACCACCCTCCGCAAAAGGTATGTGATGTTTGTACTCTTGTAGTCGGGATTGAATTCACGGTCCAAGTTTTTCCCTTTAAATTGTGAAGTAAAATCTTCACTTTGCATTTGGGTAGGTGTTCTGTGGCAAATTGATAAGGGATGTTCTGTCAAGCAAATATGAAGGAGATCAACAAACCAAGTGATGCTTGTGCAGGTGGCGAAAGGAGAATAAACTTGTCTAATGCAATATTACTCCAAACTAAACATCAAATAAAGCCAATGTTCTCAGAGTGAATCATCTCCTAAGATGAAGCAAATCCAACATGGAAAAGCTTAGGCATACAACAAATCAACATAATGATACAGAAAGCTACAAAGGGAACTGAACGCCACAACTACCTTGCTGGATTAGATTGTTGTAATATAGACAATAACAACAACAACAACAACCCAGTAATAATCCCACTAGTGGGGTCTGGGGAGGGTAGAGATATAGTCAACAACAACAACAACAAAAAAGATGGCAACATCAACAAAATAGCCTTGTGGTTCAATATAAAATAGGCAGGTTAAGGACAAATATGCAGCTATTAAAATAAATAGAAACATCAGTGGGCAGTTCAGATATTGTTGGCACTTGGCACACAAAAATATAACAAGCTAAACAACTTTACCACGTTGCACATAATTCTCAACCACAACATTCCTTATTGTCAAAGAAGATATGACAGCTCATTCAATGCAGTCATAGATAGCAAGAAATGTTGAGGCAAGACATTACAGAAGCTAAGATTACTCATAATATTTTGTAGTTGCACCAAGAATCACAAGAAATGTTGTTTTAGAGAAAACAGAAGACCTACTCACCAGGGTGTATGAACCACTAACGTTGAATCTCTTCATAACTTTCGTAAAGTTGGGGAAACTCGAGGTAAACGAACGGGCAACCTTTTCTGCTTCTTGTGCAGACAACCACATAGGTTCTTCGGAGGTACCATTGCCTGTTTTCACCTCTGCTTTAGATTCAAAATACAATAAATTTTCCAAATTTGTAACTGACAATTTTGCAATATAGCTGTTGCTAACAACTGAATTTCCTTTCTATTAAGAAAACAGAAAGAAAAAAAAAAGGATAATTCGTAATAGAAATGCAGGGCAACAACGTATACAAATGCTTTGCACTATAAGAACTTACATTACTAAGTGATAAAGACCTAAAATATATCAAAATATAAGTGTCTCCTCCAACAGTTTAAATTTTTAGATGAGGTGGTCACACAATTCAACATGATATCAGACAAAAACCTTGAGGTCAAGTCTCACTAGTCACTGAACGCAAAAAGGAAAAATGTTCCAACGTGCACCCAGGAAAAAGAATCAGGCAAACACCTGTGGAAGCTTGTCGCAAACCTAAATATACAAATAGAAGTGTTCGCTCCCTTATAGCTAAAGCTTCTAGATGAGGCGGTTGCAATTCAATGGGAAATATTGTTGTTTACTAACTGACTTTTAATAATTAATAGGAATTGTAACATCAAATTGGGCTTAATTAAACTTCTGGCAAACTCAAACAACACTTCTCAAACTAGAGAATCGAACTGCCAAGAATAATGTAATAAACTATAATCTAACCATTTACCTGAGTTACTGCAGACAATCTCTGTTTGAGATGGCACAGCGATGGTAACTGTATTGCTTGATGCATTTCCAGCATTCTCCATTTCATTCAGAAAGCTAGAAGTATAAATTCTTCCATTTGAGCAAACTGCGTCTTCTGCTGTGCATTCGGAAGGGATCTGAGTGCTTCGCATTTTCTTAGGAACACCTTCAACAACGCATTCTAGTAAAGCTGAGTTTCCTCGGTCTCTTTTTTTCAAAGCAAGATTGTACAAGTTTGTTGCTCCTTGACTGCAGTCAGCGTTATAAGCAGCTTCCTTCTCACATGAACTTTCATCAAATGCTAGCACAGTGAAATGCAAATCACCGTCATATCTGAAAACCAAAGCATCCCCACTTTCAAGGCAGTGATCTTTAACTAATGAAGCCCATCCATTGTGGAAGAATAAACCATCATCTTGCTGTATTAAGTCCATAGGCCAAGAATTTCCACTGGGACCCACCAAAAATGCTGTTCCAGAAGCTTTTCCTTCCATATGTTTAATGAATTTTGATGGAATTTTCTGCAACAGAGAATTCAGAACAGTTAATGAACTTTGCAAGAGTTGACCAATCTGGTCTTTTTCAGCAAAATGCTAAATATATTGCCAAAAAGATCAAGTTAGTTTCTTAAGAAAGACTATGAACTTCAACAACATAACTCGTCATTGAATGCTACATCAATTAATCTCAATGGAAAATACCTCTGTTTTAAAAGGCGTTTCTGGGGCGAGCCCCGGGGCGAGGCGTACCAAAAACACCCCGGGCGATGGTGTGGGGCGAAAGTCTCAAGAGGCGTACGCCCTGCAATTTGGGGCGTACGCCCGGGCGTTCGGGGCGTACGTCCGGGCGTTCGGGGCGTACACCCGGGCGTTCGGAGCGCGATTTTTTAGTAAGGTGTAAGCCCTAGAGAATGTTTTCAAATTAAAATAAAATTTGTTGAATTAGTCCTTCATATAATACCAAAATTCTCAAAAGTCAGTTTGGTAATTACTCAAAAGGTTAAAAAAGGAACTCAAAAGTATTAAATTTAAAAGTAAAGACCTTTTTTATTGATTTAAGCCCTAATTCATGGTTTTTCCAAATTTGTATCTTGTCCGCTAGTCTGCTAATATCTCCCAAAAGCAACAAATGTTTAATTTTTTTTACAAATACAAAGAGAACTACATTTTTCTTCATAGCAGCAAATTCAAAGTTCAAATTGCAGGTTAATCATCCTTTTTGTTCCTTCATATAGAAAACTTTATTCTTTTAGACTCAAGTTACTTGTGCTTGTAAGTAACGTATATATAATAGATTGTTTTGATTAGTTTTTTGTGGGGATGGAGCACACATATATATAGTTTTCTTCAATTTTTATGCAATTTTACCTGTTTATAAATATTAACTGTCATTATATTATTTTATAAAATATTAAAAATTAAATACCTATGGGGCTTACGCCCCGCTGAGGCATTTGTAAAACGCCCCGCCTTACGCTCACGCCTTTTAAAACACCGGAAAATACCAATAATCATCTCCAAAGTAATATTCGTCAACTGCTTGGTTTCGAATTTCGATTATATATATCAAATTACAAGTCATAGCATCTCAATATATACATCGCCTCCAGAAGGCTGATGAGAAGGCCAAGCACATAGATAAACATAGTCTGCACGGGAAGGCATCCATGATACGTCTCACTGAATATCTATGGGCAGCAGTTAACACAAGAAGTTCAAGCACACAGACAAATGCAGTCAACACAGAAAGGCATCTGCTCTATTTCCCATTGAATATATCCAGTTGTAGCTTACCAAATATAAGACTAAGTTCCTCAGTTGTTCTTATAATAAATCATTTCATTATTTAAAATGCAGGAGGCAAGTCGTTTCAAGAGCAATGTAATTCGAAACATCCACACAAAACAGATACTGAAGGGTGCTTTATCTCGATCCAATCTTTTCTTTAGGAACAAGAAGAATAGGGCCGCCTACGTACTCCTCAGGAGGTATCACAAGTTAGCCCTATGTAGCTCATTGCTATGGAAACCACTGCATTCTAAGTGCTAACACCTCAGTTTAGAAAAGATTATAAAGTTTGTTAAACTTAAACATCGAATGAACCAATGTCTGATACATAGCACATCCAATACTCATATAGGTATAACATAATTGTTTACTAAGTGAACTACCTTCAGTTTAAAGTACTCAACAAAAAATATTAACTAAAACAGCAGCTAAATAAAAAACAATAATAATGCAGCAAACAGGAATGTACCAACAAATTGTGAAGCAACTAATGCTTACCAATGTTTCAGAATGGATTGAAGGGTTAAAACCCACAAGAAAATGAGGCCTTCTTGCATCCCACATTTCTGTATTAGTCTCCTCTTAAACCTAAATTTTGAAGTTAAAACCCTAAAGAACCCCAAAAAAAATTCTTCAATTCCATTTTTCTTAGAATGTCATTTATGAATCTGGGAATGTAAAATTAAGTAAACAAACAAACACAAAGTAATCAAATTCATAAAGCAAATACTGAAAATCGAGAAAAGTGAAAATTCGATTCACGCCTAAAATGGAGAAATTTTAGGTGAAATTGGAGTAACAATTTCTGCATAGAGAAATGACACGAAAGAGCTGGCGGGGGTGGGGGGTAAGTGAAATTCCTGTAGTACCCATTGTGAGATGAAGCGTGAGTTACACGCAGAACAAATTGTTTGGTTTCTGCAGTAGTTGAAGGGCTGTGACGCGTACGTGGAAATGAAGGCGCGTTGGTCAAGTGAAGAAAGAAAGTACAATACTTGTGATGTTATGAATTAGATCCAAGGTGTCAAAAAAGTTCCAAATTTCCAATTGCCATTTTCCCATATTATTAATTTTTTTTGGAATTAAAAAGGGCCAATTTTACTTCGAAAAGAGATATTAATACAAATGATAATTAGGATTTGGATGACAAAATTGAATAGCATAGTTGAGAAATTAGAAAAGGCAGAATTGTCTAAATGGCACTTATATTTGTGTCACTTTGTCATGTCGGTCCTCCTACTTCACTTTTTTTCGTCCAGACACTTTAACTTGTTCAAAATCTATATTTTAAACCCCTTTGACCGTGTGTGTATCTTACTTGCTTGACGTGGATGACACAACATATTCCACGTTATTTTTTATATTTTATATACTAAAAACACTTATTAAATACTGCTTCCTTAAAGAAAAAGAAAAAGAAAATCAATGTCTCCCTCTCATCTCTCTTCCCTCAAATTCGCAGATTTTTCTTCCTTGTCCATCTCATATCCCTTCTGCATTCTCATCTCCCTTCTCTGTCTCACTATTCCGTCGATAAATAGTCATTTAGGTATTTTTTACTCAAATGATGAAATTGGCCACGCCAAGAAAGTGGCGATTCATGCAAACGATCCAAATTTTGATGAACCAGAAGAGAATTAAACTGAATCTTGAACCTGGATCTTTGTTGAAGATTGACTTGAATAATGATTGAGTTTGTTTTTGCTTTTTGAGATGTAAATATATGAGAATCTGCTAATGTTATGGTGATCTATGCAGATAGAAGGAAAAATATGAAGGATTTGTTATCTGGATTTGGAGGTGGGGGTAGGGGTGGGATGTTCACAACAAAAGGGGGAAGGGAGAAAGAAGAGGCTGGGGAGGGGAGAAACGTACATCACTAAATAGTTTTCAGAAAATAGTTGCCTAAAAAAAAACCTACCAACACCACTAAATCACATTCTTCATGAAATCTATCAACCTAGACATTACATCCGAACTGTAAATTGAATCATGAAGTAACTTTAACTTAGGATAGGACCCACAAAACTACCAATAAATATAATTATTTAATTTTCTTATTGCATCCCTATGCCAAATGCAATTTCTTTGAAAAAGAATAAGCAAGTATANTTTTTTTTACTTATTTATTTTTCATTCTTATTTTAATGATTTTTTCTTCTTATTTTAATTATTTCTAGTTCAAAATATTCATATTCACGCTCATTATCCGTGTGAATTACACCCACTTTGTCCAGCTCAACCATTATTTTGTCACATGTGCTTGGTCAATGGTTAGAGGGGTTTAAAATATAGATTTTGAACAAGTTAAAGTGTCTGGATGAAAAAAAGTGAAGTAGGAGGACCGGCATGACAAAGTGGCACAAGTATAGGTGCTATTTAGGCCATTCTGCCATTAGAAAAATCAAAGCATTCAATTAGTCATTGGATGATTGAGTTGTTTCTGAATAACTGTGTTGTTCAGACCAGTTTGCGCGCACTTCAACTAATTCTATGATATATCACTATCTCCCATCCAGATAACTCTATGTACCTAAGTTTGAAAAAATTAGAAGAATCTCTGATAAATATGTAATGTAAATTTTGAATTTTAAATCATTATTGTACTTAAGAGATAATGTTTATCTTCTAGATCAACATGTAACTATAAAAGCTCATTTTATCTGCAATATTCATCAAGAAATATTACTTGTTTCATGGTATCAGAAGTCTAGGTTTTCTCTCCTTTGTTGACTCATGGCTTCCAACACCTCTACTGAACTAGTTCCTTCTTCCCCAGCCTCCATCACTAATGCTTCCTCCATTATTCCATCTCCTCCCTCTGTTATTTCCGTCTCAAACATTAAAAATCTTCTACCTACTGTTCTTGACTATACAAACTATATATTATGAAGAGAGCTTTTCTTTTTATTTATGAAAGTTTTTCCTGTCCTAAGCCTACTATTCTTCATGATGCTGATAACTCTATCTAGAACCCTTCCTTTCAACAATGGATTCAACTTGACTCCATTGTTCTTTCATGGATTCAAGCAACAATTTTCCAAGAAATTCTTCAAGCTATTATCAAGCCAAATCATTCTCTCACTTCTAGAGACGTGTGGCTTCAAATCGAGCGATTATTCCTTGATCAAGTTAGTTCTCGAACACTTCAACTCAAAGTCAAGTTTCATAACTTTAAGAAAGGTAACCTTTCAATTAATGAATATGTACATCGTCTCAAATCCATTGTAGATACGTTAACGTCCATATGTAATCTAATATGTGAATCTGATGTTTTTCTATAAATACTTTCTGGATTAACTCTAGAATATATGTTTGTGAGCACCTCTATCTCTACTCGCATTCCTCTTCCTACCTTTGTTGAACCACGCTCCCTACTTTTCATTCATGAAGCCCAATTAAGTAGTCTCTCTAATTCTACTTCGTATAATTCCACCACTGCTTTTATGGCCAAGCAGCAATCGTCCCTCTCTTATGGTCATGGACAATCGTCATAACAATGGTGGGCGCCATTCTAATGGTGGACGTGGTCGAGGTCGCTATACTCAAGGGAATACCAAATCTTTTAATGTTGGGCCTCAACAGTTCACTCTGTGTCCCCGTCTTCCTTCCATCTTAGGTCCCCATCCAATTTATTATCATGTTGCTTTCAATCCATCTCAACCAAATAATGTGATGCTTTACCGCCAACTCTGCTATCAGCCGCACCACACTGCTTGTGATTGTCCTTCTCTAAATTCTAAGGCCTTTGTCTCACATATTAGTTCTAGCTACTCATTTCTTCACCTGGTGATGCCTCTTGATTTGTGGACAGTGGAGCATCTTCTCACATGACTCCAAATGCATTCAATTTATCCTCTATTATTCCATATAGTGGCTCAGATCGTGTAGTTGTGGGTAATGGAACTCAACTCCTTATTTCCTACACTAGACCTGGTATTTTCTCTAATTCTAGTTCTCTTTTTTTCTCTTAGAGATATTTTAGTTGTTCCTCATTTTTTCACTAATTTACAAAACGTTCGTAAATTTGTTTCGAATAATAATTGTTCTATGGAATTTGATCCTTTTGGTTTTTCCATTAAGGAACTCAAGACGAAGAGGCCTCTCATTTGGTGCAATAGTTCTGGACCACTTTATGCCCTTATTTCTTCTTCTGATGGCTTTGCTGCAACTCACATTTCATCACTTCCACCTGAACCAACTTCTTTTACGGAAGCTCACAAATCACCTCATTGGAGACATGCAATGGCCGAAGAATACAATGCTCTTATAGCCAACTGCACTTAGGATATTGTGCATGTACCACCTACTGCCAATGTTATTGGTTGTCATTGGGTTTATCGTATTAAACAAAAATCTGATGATTCTATAGAGCGTTTTAAGGCTCGCCTTGTGGCCCAAGGCTACAAACAACAACAAGGACTAGATTATGATTAAACATTTAGTCCTATGGTGAAACCAGTAACTATTCGTACTATTTTTGCCCTTGCTGCATCTAAGTAATGTTATGTTCATCAATTAAACGTTAAGAACGCCTTCTTGTATGGCAATCTTAACGAACCGGTATATATGAAACAGTCTTCTGGCTTTGTTCATCCACAATTTCCTTATCATGTTTGTCGATCGAACAAAGCTATTTATGGCTTAAAGCAAGCCCTTAGGGCATGGTTCCATCGGTTCACTTCTTTTATTCTAAGTACTGGATTTCAAAATAGCTTGTCCGATCCCTCTCTTTTTATTTATAAACATAACTCAGACATTGCTATTCTTCTACTATATGTTGATGATATTCTCCTCACTGCCTCTTCTACTACCTTACTTCAATCTTTAATTCAGACTCTTAAGTCCGAATTTTCAACGAATGACTTAGGATTGGTTAATTATTTTCTTGGTGTTTCTATAACTGCTCGTGATGGAGGTTATTTTGTATCTCAGTCCAAATACGTGAAAGAACTCCTTGGTCATGCAAATTTGCTTTCTTCCAAACCAGTTTCAACTCCTCTTTCTCCTAAGTCTCAACTACATTCGGATGATTCTTCCCTTTTTTCATATCCCACACTGCATAGAAGTCTTGTTGGTGGTCTTCAATACTTGACATTTATCCATCCAGACATTAACTTTACAGTTAATCAATTATCTAAATTTATGCATTCTCCCTTAGACATTCACTATACTGCAGTCAAAAAGAATTTTACGATATTTGCATGGTTCATTGAGTCACAGTTTATTTATTCCCGGTGGTTATATTGATAGTTTACACTGTTATAGTGATGCAGATTGGGTTGGTTGCTCTATAACTCATCGATCCACTCCGGCTTATTGTCTCTTCCTTGGCCTGAATCTTATTTCATGATTCTCCAAGAAGCATAATGTTGTTTCCCAATCAAGTGCTGAAGCTGAATATCGTGCAGTTGCTCACACGGTTGCCGAAATCACATGGTTACATTATCTTTTAAAGGAACTTCATGTTTCTTGTTCTTCACCTTCCATAATTTTTTGTGACAATATTATCAGCATATATTTGGCACAGAATCATGTTCAACACGCTCGTACAAAGCATGTAGATATTGATGTTCATTTTATTCGTGAAAAAGTTGCCGCTGGTATTCTTCGAGTTCATTATGTCCCTAGTCAAAATCAGCTTGCAGATTTATTAACCAAGGCACTTCCTTCACCGCTATTATTGTTTTTGCGCAACAAGCTCTGTATTCTTCCAGACCATGCATCGCTTGAGGGGGCGTGATAAATATGTAACGTAAATTTTGAATTTTAAATTATTATTGTACTTAGAGATAATGTTTATCTTCTAGATCAATATGTAACTATAAAAGCTCATTTTATCTGTAACAATATTCAACAAGAAATATTACTTGTTTCAATCTCGGCTAATTCTATGAGGTAACTCTAT